CGACGCGCAACCTTACCATAAAGGACCTGGTCGGACATTGATAATTCCCCTTCTAACCGTCATGTTTGAGACCTTAACCACCATGGTCATGACTTCGACCAACCACCAGAAAAGGAAAATCCTTATCTCTAGGAGAGAATGGAAAGCCAGCTCACTTGCTGAGGGGGCCAGGGCCACAATGAACATCCAGAGGTGGAAATCGAACCTGCAGACACAGGGTGCGTTAGGCAGCACACTTTCAGAAGCTGCAGGGCATCGACTGGGACACGTACAAGCGCACCAAAGTCTTCAGAACAAGTGGGAAGGCTTGAGTCCAAAATTCCGTTGGGAGTCCAATCGCTGACATATTCAAGTCAGCTATACCACCATTTACATTAAGTGAATCACCCAACTGAGTTTTGATGCACAAATAACCGCCATGACAAGGAAGAGTGTAAGACCTTGAAAAAATGTGCAAAACTTCGTTCACGGAAGGGAAGCCGAATCAGTGAGGACGTTGACTTTCCAGATAGTATCTCTTAAGTAGTTGTTCCACAGCCCCACCAAACGAGAGAGAGCGCTTCGACCTGCCACTAAGCTCGTTTCAACACTTTGAACCAACACCTGAGACTGCTTCAATTCCTCAGCTGAATATCAAAGCACAATAATCTCAAATTCAGTGGGACAGGCCTCCATAATCACCTCTCATCGGCTTCTCTAGTTTGAGCTAGCGCAACCTACCCTAAGCGCTTTGGTTTGACTGGCGGCTTGCTCAACACGTCCGCAGCCTCAAAGAAACCCATCCTCTTCTGACCAAAGTCGTCAATTGCACTGGATCTTCGCTTCTCGTCGACAGTCCCTTCTTGCAGACTCCTGCTCTCCTTTCCTGAAGCCACGCACCGCACATACGTACCACCATATTTCGGAAGGCCCTGCACTGCTGTTCTGAAATGTACAAGAATGCGGGCTCTTGCAAGCTGGATCATTGCTGAGAGTAGTGCGATCAGCCTTACTAGCAGACATGGGATCTAGCTAACGAAATGAGTGGAGTGCGATACATTGCAGGAAGGTAGCCAATGGTGGCTAAGTAAGCAAAGACACAGCTTGGGGACCGGAAATGAGACTGAATCAGAAAGCTAGAAGCTGAAGAGCTATCAACTGTAAATCTTCAAAAGTATTCTACTGAATAGAAACTTAGAGCTGGAAGCGCCTCAAACGTCTTCAGAGCGCTTGCCCTTCCTTCAACTTCAAGTTCAACTTCCCACGATGGCATTGCTTGCAATGCAAAATGGCTGAACGTTCAAGAAAACCTTACAGCTAAGTTGACATAACCCAGATCCTGATTAAACGCCCAGAGTGACGCCGTTCACACCGTTTCTGCGGAGGTGGCGGCGACGAAGCTTCAAATCATTTCCCCCCAAAGTCAAAAGCTCATCCGTTACCTTTTCCGTTCAGGGAACGTCAGCCGCACTCGGCAGGGTGTTTGTGAGGAACGGGAGGTCAAGAAAAGGGTTAGCAAAGGGGTCGTCAGAACCTGCCTACCTACCTAGCTCGGTGCTGCTTCATGGCAGTCACCTGTCCTCTCAACCCCGTTCTCCCTCAATCTCTGTCGCTCGCCACCATGTCCTCTCAGGTGTTGGCCCGGTCTGGCCTGAACAGCTCGTTTCTGCTCCACCCAGCTCCTTCAGGCCTCCCTACAGAGCGCCCTTCGCCAAGGAATCGCCACCTGGCTGGATATGGAGCTGGACAGGTGTCGTTGCCAGGGTTGAGGTGCGGTTACGGCCCAGGCAAATGTACGTCATTCAGGTATGAGACTCCGGAGGAGGATTGAGACACGGTGGGAGAATTGTGCAAAGGTGCTACTCTACTTGGCGCTGGAGTTTGCTTTCATGAGGGTTTGGCCTGTTTTTCAGGTGTGGAAGGAGATTCCTAGACTTCAATGTGCTCGCAAATCTCCTTGCTCACGCTTGCGGGCATTGTGCACAGCGTCTCCCGTAGCGGCAGTCCCTGCATTCATGTATTTCAATGCTGTGGAGTTGACAAGCGGAGTTTCCTCTCGGGGCGTTCCAAAGTCATAGAAGTCTGCTTCAAAAGCTGCTTGCTTTGCTCTTTTCACATCCCTCCACCAGCTAAAAATTAGCTCGACTTTAAGTCTCTGTGAACCAGGCCAAGCACTAGAACATGGAGCAGGTTGGGCTTTTCGCAAACTAGATGTAGGTGCAACGAGCGTCCAGAATTTCAAGTTACTAGAATGGTGGTCTCATAGGCTGTCCCTTCTTTACTCCAGGCGGCCAGTTGTGTCCTCCCCAGGACGAAGCAGGGAACGCTTCACCTTCACATGTAAGTTTTCCATTGCTTCAAAGTCTCAAGTCTCTGCCAGTGAGCTCAAGCCAGGGGTGGTCTCCTTCGCGTCCGCTCCTTCAGCATATTGCAAAACGATGTCGCTGCAGCATGATCGTGAAAGCTATTGTGACCGGCACGAGCAACAAGCTGTAGGCGTGAGAGTTTCTTTTTGATAGATGAGCAGACCAATAGAGCGCTGTCAGCAGGATACTAGACTGGCTCCGAGCTTTCTCTGCGTGTGAGCCAAGGTTGGCTTCTGAAAGAGTGTGTTTTTCCGCAAAGGTTTAGAAGGCCGGTTCGCTGTGCAAGTCGTCTCCAACGATATGCTTCCTGGTGCCTTGTCGATCAAAAACTGCTCCAAAGCGCCAAGCAACTCTGTCCCCACTCAGGCGCCCAAGCAAAGAACTCTCCTCCTTCGGATGCCAATCCGATAGCCACGGCGGTGTTGAACAGCAAGGCCCCATCAGAAAACGGCAGCAGTAGTAGCCAAAACTCGGGCGCGGGGGGGGGTGGTACACATGAAAGGAAGGGCGTTGACGAGGGCGACGGTGATGAGGGGGAGTTTGGGTCAGTGCCAGAGTGAGCTGGCGTGGCACCCCCGCTCTTTCAGCAATTTTCGTGGGTTTTACGGTCACGTCTGTATGAAGTAGAAACGGGCAGGACAACCCCGAGCTATATGCGTTGCGGCTGGAAGCGCGGTTGCTTTCTGAAAGGAGAAAGTCCGATTTGGTGCCAGTGCAAGTAATTGGCCCTTTCAATTCTCTGCGTCAATTGCAAGAGTGCAGATGTCGGTGTTTGATTTAATTTGATTTGTTTTGATTTGATTTGATCGGATCGGACACCGACAGATCAATCATTGATCGGTGCCGTCCGACTGGAGCGGCACTGGCTGGTACTTGAAATGTGAACGGATTGATCTGCATACACACTTCAAAGGAGCCGTGATGCACAGGAAAGCGGAAGCAGTTGATAAGGCAGGTCGAACAGTTGGATTCCGCAGCCATGTTAGCAATTGAAGGACGATGTTGTCAAGTTTCCCTGACAGACTAAAAACTTATGGTTGCCAGCTTCGAGTTCAAGCAAGACCGAGGGGCGTCCTTAAACCCTGGTAGCAACCCCGTGTGCCTTGCGATATTTCTGACTTGAATCGCTTCACCTGCTGCAGTCTGATCCCCGATGCCGCCAAGGACGTGGATTCCTTCCTGCCGGAATGGGCGCGGCTCAACAAGGATGACGTCATCACCGTGGGGGTCACCTTCGCAGTCTCTCTCATCTTTCGAACGTGAGTGCCTCTGTTTCTGGTCGGTCGACAATCTTGTCTTGATTGTCAAACGTTCCTCTTCGAAGTCGAGGAGAGTTGCCAATGGACGAAATACCCGAAGTGCTCTGTTCCGGAGCGAGGGTTAAAAGCACTGACTTAGTTCCTGTGTGAGATTTTGTCAGTGCTTGTCTGAACCGAACGGCGATTGAGGGGTATAGGGAAGAGCGTGATCTTTGATCGGTGTTGCAAACGGTTTGTTAAGGCGTTGGACAGGACTTTCTATGGGAGAGACGGCTTGAGTTCCCGGGCGGGTGTTTGTAAATAGGGTTTCGTATCGTCGTCTATAAGTCTTAAGAAAGATAATCTGAGTTCGCAAGGACCTCTGATCGCAACTGCAACGGAGTGGAGCTAAACAAAAGCCGCACACAACAAGCGGCACAAGAGCAGCGGTAAAGAACACCTGTCGACCCGCTTCCTCATCGAAAGTATCTGCTGAAAGGAAAGGGTTTGAGTGAGAACAAACCTCCTCTGGGCTCTCTGGCAGGTTCATTGCCGAACCTCGGTACATTCCTTCCCTGTCCATGTTCCCAACGTTCGACATCGGTGACCGGATCATTACGGAACGGGTAAGGCTGCCAAAGTCGTTGAATCGAAGTGTACTCAATGTGAGGCGCCAGACTTGTGCGAGATCTATGCGTCAATTTTCGTTTCGCCAATCCGGCGGACTGATGGGCCACTTATCTGACAGCGTGGCCGGAGCATAAAGCAACGCACTACCCCAAATGGTTGCATCATAGGGCGACGTTTTGTGGAGAATTGAATGTGTGCGTGACGTCACTTGCTCACGTGCTTGGCGAGTGGGATTCGAAAAATCGTTAGAGCCTCGTCAAGATCTGGTGCGGAGGTTGCATAGAGACCCTGATATCTAAGCGGTTCGCCTACTCGCAGATATCATACTATTTGCATGACCCCCAAGTCGGGGACATTGTAACCTTCAAAGCCCCTCCACAGCTGGTGGTAAGCTCGATTCCCTGCCCTTATCTCTTCTTTTCTCTTTTGTCTGCTTTCCGCCTCTGCTTTCATAGTGTCTTCTTTTTTTTGGATCCTTTTCCGATTCACGCCGCTGGCTCGCAAGCGGCTGTCTGGTTTTGCTTTCCACGTCCTCGTTTCCCCCAGATTCTTCGTTGGTTAATCTTTCCCTTTGTGTCTCTTCTTGCGCTGTTTGCACCTTGGATCTGCCGTTCACGAAGGGAGCTCTCATGTTGTGCTTTTCGTCGGATCGCCGAAGCCTTTTATGACGTCTTTTGCGATTAGGATCTGAAGCCTCCCTTGTCGTTTGGCTTTGCTTGAGCTCGTTTTCTTTCAATCGAACACTGCTTGCCAATCGCGTTACCGGAGGTTCAATCTGCGTTGTACCTAATCAGCCGCCGAGAATCTCCCTGACGCTTGGTATGCTAGTGTAGAAAGACAGGTTAGGAAGATAGAGTTGACCCGCTCAGGAACCCTTGCGCTGACGTCAAGCTGACGTGTGCAGGCCCGGGGTTACCAGGACGGGGAGGTGTTCGTCAAACGAGTTGTCGCAACCGGGGGGGACGTAGTTGAGGTAAAGCTGCCCACACCCCTTTTCTTACACTCTTGATAACCAGTAAAATAGAGTGTTATAAGAGTAATAAAAACTCAATGAATGGATCCAAGTAGTAGCGGCTGGCGAACGACCACCTGTGCTAAAGTTGGCTGGGAGTGTTTTCGTATCAGCATGCGCGCGCAGGGCACGTAAGGCCCACCTGTCGTGAAGGCGGTTGCGCCACTAGTCGTATTCTTGGCATCCCACAACCAGAGACGATAACAGAATACCGTGAGAATATTGGCTGCGGAAGGTGGGCTTTCTCAAGTGCGTGACCCGGACAAAAAACAAATTTGAAATGAACGCTTTCAAGCCTCATGTCATCGATGGGGGTCACAAAGACAACCACGTCGTTATCGACCGCCTTTCTGTCTTGTTCTCGACACTTTGTTATCCTTATGCTTCCCATCAACTCAACCACTCAACCCACAAACTGTTACTATTGAAGTTGGTATTGGCTTTTCTATTTTGCAGAAGATCGTCCCCAACGCTTGGCCGTGTAGTAGGGCCGACCGGTTAGATTCTATCCGGACACCCCAAAATCGGCAGAATTGAATCTGAGTTTCTCGTAGTGTGTGCCATTTGACAGACAGACAGTCGTAATAAGCGGCCACACTCCTGGACGGTATGGATTTCGTGAGGTCCCGACGTTCCGGATTCGCAGGCAGTATCTTCATCCTGTAGAAGCTCGACAAGAAGTCGGCTTACACTGGCGACACGTCTCTGCAGGTTCATGACGGCACCTTGATTGTGAACGGGCGGCAACGAAATAGCGAGACATATATCGCCGAGAAGCCGTTCTACGACCTGCCGCCCGTGGTAAGATCACGGAACCCGTGCACTCTAGACCTTGCTTCGACAAAGCGACATCACTTGTGTCTCCTATGACCTTCTCAATAACCGCAAACATGTCTTGTTAAGTGCCTTTGCCGTAAGTATTGCTCTGTCTCTGCCTTGTCGTGGTTCCGGTCTAGTTGATAACGAGAAACTTCTAGCGTCCCCGGAGTGATCGACTTTCTGGTCGTTATTCCGCACTGACATTGTTTCTGGACAGGTCTAAATCATCAAAGGTGCTGTGCCGCCTCTTCCCGTCGGTACATCGGAAGAATGTTGATTCATACGGCGTTGCTCGATTCAATCACACATGCGAAACGCACATTGAAGCGCCCTGTTGTTCGCCCGTCTATCCGATCACGCTGTCGTTCGTTAGTCAGTCAAGCGTTCAGCGCTTACGGCAAAGAGTAAAGCCGGCTAGTGGTGCAGCAGATTCTAGAACGGCGTTGATACTTGAAAGGCTAAGCATTTTGGTTATTCCGCTGCAGAGGGTTCCGGAGGATGACGTTTTCGTCATGGGGGACAACCGGAACAACAGCTACGATTCGCATTTATGGTGAGCCTTCCCATTGACGTCAAAATCAGACTGTGCGAGACGTCAGAAGGGGTGCTCGTTGTCGTATCTAGAGTTTTGAAGTTACAAACTTGCTGAGAGCCGAGCATGAATGCTAAGCACTCGTATGATAAAGCCAGCGGTTTTTTAAGTCTTTAATATGTCCTGTTTTTTAAGTCTTTGATATGTGCTGTACCGAGTATAGCCACGTCTTCCGTTCAGTACGTTGCTTTCAACGCGCCACCAGAGCTTTACAGATGCTCGCTTGAAGCGTAACCTCACAAACCTATCCAAGTATGTACTTTGGATTGTTCGAGTCCCGACGTTCAGCCGTCCTGAATGTTGAAAGATGGTATCGAGTCCCTTGAACTTACAGCTGTCTCTCCGTTGTCTGCAGGGGTCCTTTACCTAAAAAGAACATAGTCGGGAAGTATTTCTTTAGATACTGGCCTCCTACTAAGATTAACGCCAACGGCAATGCTGTAGCCCCGCCTCTCCTCGACAGTCGGTAACGACCATTGTTTGAGTTTTACCCTTGATTATACCAAAAGTTTGAGAGCACAGTAATAACAATTGACTGGAATCAGGTTTCACGAGTTCTTAACTCGATCATTTTTGAGGTGAGGGCTTTTAGGTAAAAGACATGGACTTTGGGGTTTGAGCTCCGGCGCGTGTCTTAGTCTCTTCGTAAGGCCATTCAAGATGCACATTCATGGGCCGTTCCTTGTGTTCGAGTATAGCATCTTCTTAAGTTTCAATGAGCCGGGATATGCATACACAAAGGTTTTGCAATGTTCGTGATATAAGTAATTGCGATTCACTGAAGTGAGAGTATATGCTGCATGAAGATTGGATCGCCAATGATTAATGTACCCCGCTCGTACCGGATCGCTTGCGTCAAGGCGGCCCAATTATAACGTGGCTCAGGGTTCATGAGACCAAGTGACCATCATCCAGAAATTTTCATCTGCAATGACCGATTGACATCATGGACCAGACATATGCACGTACGTGTATTTAGGCTAGCTAGGACACGGCCTGCATGACCTCGTTCTTTATACCGCTTGCATGTGACGTTGTGCTCCAGCATGCGAATGAACATGAAAATATGAATGATTGCCAGAATCATCCAAGGATACGTTCAAAGGCATACAGCAAACACGTACACAGGTTCCCACAGGTAATTTCGTTTGCCCAATGGGCAAGTCAGCCGCGTGGGGTGGCCAGTTCTCGCTTGGGCGATGAGCATCAGGCTTTGGGCCCATTCTGTATGTCTTGTTGAAGTGTCCATACGAACTCATTATGGACTCTTTCCAAAATCAGATGTGAAGACTCTTCACCTTTAAGGAGAGCTCCCCAGTTTTCAGTCCTGTGGCAAGCGAATGTTTTTGACGGCTGAAGAGCAGGTCAACATCGAACTCGAAACAACCGCGTGGGCTGACGAGGTGAAGAAACCACAAAACTCATAAGATGCTCTATTTTTTCAAAGTGTCACTTTGGAGGGGCCGATACGCTGGGCCGCCTCAAGAGGCGGAGGAGCTTCTCTTGAAGATGCCCTTCTTCTTTGGCGTTTCCTCTTTCTGCATGTAACTGCAGATGCACAAATTAGACGCTGGTGAGCTTCAAAGACTTGTAGCCTCCTTGAATCTTCTTCTGGACCATGCACTCTTTCGTGCAAGCATGTTGCAGATGACAGCAGATCGCCACCAGATAACAGGGTCACATTGCATACAAAATACAAGACAACGAGTTCAAGGGGTGGGACAGCCTCACTCTCCATATTTGGCCGTGAACCTCTTCTCAAGCTTCGTGGCTGCTTTGTCCTCTGTCTTGACCTGAGCTTTTGCACTGCAATCGAACATGCTAAAGAGTCAGCACTTTTACAGCACGAGACCATCTATCTGCTTTTCATTTTTGATGCGAGCTCCGAGCTGCAAACTCCAGTCCTATTGAGGACTTGTCCCTTGCACGGGATCAACGCAGAGAAAGCAACTACCTCAGCACTGGAGGCATCTTGGATGGGACAATTAGTTGCACCCCCAACAAATTAATATGCAGAGTCTGACTCAGGGTTCTCAGCACAGAGCCAAACACTGTGACTTCCTCACCTGGACTTCCTGATCTTATCAAAATCCGACTCTCTTCGTGTCACCTTCTTCTCCTCCTTCCTGACTTCCTTTATCTGCTTCTTCAGCTTCTTTTCAGCCTTCTTCTTCCGCTTCTCTTCCTTAAGGGGGTCCTGGGTGCATAAATGACATCCTTTTCGGACAATGGATCGGATTGAAACAACAGCTCCTAAGATCAACATCTACTGTCTCAAGTGACTTTCTGGCACTCTGTCCAGAGGAGAAGTGAAAAGCGATTCTTCCGATTCATTACATTCTGCACAGCACCAAGATACAAGCAAAGGGATTGCTCTGACGATTTCCAGTGGTTCGGTCCACAGTTCTTCAAGATCACTTTTAGGGTTTGCAGGTTGCCAGATGCGGCAGACAGCTCTAGGCAGCTCCCATTGAAGCAGTGTCTTAGGTGTTTACAATTATTCTACGCACAAACGTCACCTAATGAGGGGGAAGCCTTTCTCCGTGAAACAGCGGAAGCTGGCGAAGTAGATTTGGCTCAGAATCCGGTCTTACCTCCCCAAAGAGACACATCCCAACCGTTCAGGTTGCCTCCAATAAGCCTCAAATTGCCTCCTGCCTTGGATTCAGGCTCCCAATATGGCGCCAGAGTACTTCATGGCGGACATGGAAACAATATGTCTTGGAAAACCCACGGAGCCCAACTTTGTCATTGGACAATCTTCATTGTGACCCCAATTGAGCTGGAACCAGAGAGTCTATTGAAACCGCAGGTTTTGAAATTCGGAGCTGAGGAACGTAGGAGCTGATGCTCGAAGCTGCCAGTCGCTTTGAATTGCAGCTTCCAAACTTGGTCCTGGCCGCTGTCAGCTGATCTGTTGGCGCATTGCAAGGTGCTTCTTCCACTTCAACTTCAAGTTCAACACCAGGCTTGAACACAAACTTTCGAGAGAAAATTCAAAAATACGGTACATGTTTATTGCAGGCGTTTCAACCCCTCGCTTTCCAGAGCGCTGACCGGGGATTCGCCGGCTGCCGTCTTCAGCCCGATTGCCGGCCAAAAAAGCTCAAACCAGTGAACGACCAAGTGAAACGGCAGTCGGTCGGCACGGCGTGCTCCCAACACCCCGTAACGGATGCAAATGAAAACAAACGCATAATTGAAAAGAAAAGAAGGTCTGGGGTGGTCTGGGCCCAGCATTTCAAAGGCAGCGAGAGAGCTTGCTACTGCTAGATTCCAGCTCGCCGGGAAGCAGCTGTACTTTGAAGAACAGGGACGACACAACGCCAATGTCAAGTTGCAAGCTGGCAGGATTTTTGAAGCTCATCAAAAGAATGATTGAGCACAGATAGATTCCAGCTAGCTATGCTGCAAGTAGGCTGGAGGCGTGAATATCGAGGAGCCCTTTCATATTGTCGTCAATGGCTGTTGTGGCTTTTAATCAGCTTTGAACTTCGAGGTGTCTTGTGCAAAGTGAGAAAGCTCTAGTGGTGTAGATATCCACCTCGCGATTATATCTTTGAAGGATGAGTGTGATAAATGTGCGTGTTTGAGTGTCAGTTTCCAGACTGCCAATGATGCCAACAGCACCTAGGGAATAGCCACCAATGAGACATAAAGTTTTGGCGTCATGCTCGCATGCAAGTCGGGCAGTGTCTTACAGATCAGTCAAAGACCAGGCAAGCAATGTTTAGACTTGACCAACTAGATAGTGGTCACTGACCTGCAATTACGTGGCAGCATCTGCAACTTTCTTCATATCTTAGAATCTGAGCTCCAAATAGCACCCTAAGCAGGCGTAGCGGTCAGAATCAATGAGAACTCGGTAGAAGCAGCAAGCTCGTCGCAGTACCTGCAGAGGCGCTTCTCCGCAAGGACGGGAATGGCGAGCGACGAGTCGCAGCAGCCGGGGGAAGGTGCTGGGGTGTCCGTCCCTCTGCCTCTGGATAAGTTGTGCTTCACGTAAGCTATGGGCCAACGGATTGACTGCCACCACCTTGTAACGAACTCAAACATTCTCATTCTAGTGAGAAAGGCTCAGTTTCAGCTTGAGGTGCTCTTTCAATCACCAGATTACACCGAAGGAACCTTGACAGGGCTTGCTTCGTTATACAGTGATTGATAGTCATCCATTCTGTGTCTTTCTTAACCTACACTGTGCCAAAGAAACAAATTAGCTTCAATCAGTGCATGCTTAAGAAAGCTAGTTTGTGCAATACTTAGCTTTCGCTCATATCTGCAGCTGGTGATTGGAAGCATGAAACAAGCTGATTGGCCGCCCCTCCTGTTTGTTCTTTCACTAAGCTCCACAACCTTCTTCCTTTGCAGGCACAGCCAAGAAGGTCAGCCAATCGTCTTGGTGTCAACTGGAAGCTTCAATCCTCCAACCATACTGCATCTGCGTATGTTTGGTGAGTACCAAGTTTGCTTATGTTTGTTCGTTTGCCTTTCTCCTTGCCGCAGCTCTCTTGCCGCAGCCCCGCATAGACATTCTAATGAACCTGCAGAGGTGGCATGATACGCCAGAAGAGGCACTGGCTACCTACATGAAGGGGACATTCACACTCCTGAATTAACACTCAGTCACCATGCTCCGTGTCGGTGTTAGCATCCCGCTTCACTTTCGGTGCTTGATCAGGTTCTTCCCACAGTCCGTTTTCCCATTGGTATAAGGTCTTTCTTTCAGGAGTAACAAAGTCAGTGAGAACCAATTTCAGCACGCTGGGACTGGTGGAATCACCAAGGGGTCTAGGATGGATCTAGAGTCAGGGACCTGCTGCATTTTGCGTCTCCTGAAGCCTACTGTTCTTTTAAGTCCTGTCACTGCCGCGCTTTTGGTCTACTGAATCGAAATGGTTGTGATCCGTGCATGTCGTTTGCAGAGTTGGCCAGAGATGACTTGACCGCTGACGGTTACAGCGTTTTGGGGGGCTACATGTCGCCCGTCAATGACGCCTATGGCAAAAAAGTAAGCAAACAACTTCTGTGTTGCAGTATCTGGCACTTTCAAAATCAAATGGGGGTTTGCTCGTGTGGTGTTCCTTTTGTCATTTGTAAGCTTCGAACCCTGATCTACAGTCATGGTCTTAGCACTGAGGGAAAACTTCGGCTACCACCTGTTGAGCAAGCAGAGACGCGTCGTACTTGCAGAGCCAGCAGAATTACACAAGTCTATTTCATTCTTATTCTCTCTACAACCGCCCTTTCAAATAGGAAGAAGCTTTTTCCCCAGCCAACCTGAGCTACAGTAGCCAGGTATCTACTCGATTCGGAAAGCCAAAGTCATGATCAAAACATGATACCCCCAGCTCAGATTGGTCGCTTCCCCGTGGAAGACACGTTCAGAGATCTCGAATCCGAGCACACTTGAATCCATCCCTCTCTGCTTTTTTTGCGTCAAAGACCTCCCTGAACTCGCTGTCCCTTGATCCCCTTGCGGCTCTCAACCATTACGATACTCTCAACTTCAGGGCCTCCTTCCGGCACACCACCGGATCGCGATGTGCAGATTGGCGGCGGCCGACTCAGATCTGCTTATGGTGGACCCGTGGGAGGCCCTGCAAGCTGACTTTCAGCGCAGCATCAAAGTGCTGAAGCGGATACAGCAGGGCGTAAATGCGGCCAGGCCAGAGGGCATGCGTGAGTCGTACTTCCTTGCGCCGTTTCTTGCCGTCTTGTTTTTACCGTCAGCATTGGTAGAACACAATTGAGGATGCCTTGGACAGATGCACGAATGGGCGTACTTGGCGTTTCAAGCGTCAGGAAGATTGCAGTCCGCGCGATGCCATATCGTCTTGCTTTCTCTTCGTGCGCTTTAGTTCTTCCCCCGCTTGCAGGCGACCTACAACAGTCTTTGCAAAGATGGAATGCTTTTATGTCTGTTAAGGAGTAAAAATGCTTTCCTGTTCTTCTTTCGTTCTCAGGCTACGCTTTTTCTGTTCTCTTCACATTTCCCTGCTCCCTGTTTCTCTACGGTTATGGTTCCTCGTTTGTGGATGATTGCTTACTCCATCGTGCTGAAACGTCTCTGCGCGCGATGTAATCGAACCACCACTTTTGTCGGAAACAATACATAAACGACCTTCGCCATCGGAGCCCCAGTGCTGGACTTGGGCACGGTTCAATAATTTGTCTTCACATAAGACTTTCCGCTGTTGATTGAGGATCAGGCACTGTCACCCACCGTAATTGTCCGTCTGCCGCGTCTCTTCTCGCCATTTTGCTGCCTCTTTTGTTGCTCGAAACGTTGAACTGTAAACCCGTCATGGCCGCTCCATGATGACGTCGGCTTCCGATATCCCCCTGCAGCCCCTGTGCGGTTGATGCTCGTGTGCGGCGCGGACCTGCTCGAGTCCTTCAGCCGGCCCGGCGTTTGGATCGAAGCGCAGCTACGGGAGATCTTTGCAGATCACGGCGTCGTGTGCATTTCCCGGGGGGGCTCCGACGCACGGCGACACATTCACGAGAACGATCTTCTGTTTGAGTACCGAGTGAGTGACATAACGGTCCTCCTTGACAATTGAACTTGATGCAAATTTTGGCAGACCAAGGCGTTGTGCGGGGAGGTTCCGATGCCCGGCGGCACATTCAGGAAAACGGTCTGCTCTTTGAGTATCGGGTGAGTGACATAAGATACTCCCTGGTTCTGGAAAACAATCTACTGTTTGGGTACGGATGATTGGCATTACGATACTCCCTGACGACTGGACGGATTGCAAATCTTCGCGAAGCATGGCATCGTGTGCATCTGCCCAGGGGGTCCGACGCCCGGCGACACATTCAGGAGAATCGTCTGCTGTTTGAGTACCGGGTCAGTGACATATCATTGTCCTTCTTCGAGAGTCTGCAACCTCTTTGACTGTCAGGACTAGATCGAGACATCTTGAAGGAGATTTCGGACGCTCATAGAGGTGCTCCTGTGCGTGAGCTGTCCGCCTGACGTCGCACTTCCCCTCCTAACCGATTCATCCGTCCGTCGCTCCCCTATGAACTTGCGCTAAAGGAGGACTCGCTGAATCAAGCTTCCGTGCTCGCAGAAATCCATCCGGATTGTAGACGAGTGGGCTTCCAACGAAGTTAGCTCCACCCTCGTCAGGTGAGGCTGTTCTTGACTATAGGAGCTTCGCTTTCGTAATCTAATTGTAAACTGGCGGATCACAATCGCACCTCCTGCTATTCGGCCCAGCAACGCGCTTTTTGATCAAGCCGAACGACGCCCCCTAAATTGACCAGAGGCAGGTCGAGGAGTTGCCATCTGGTGCCAGATTTTGTCAGTTGCCGCGGACTGCGCAAACTCTCTGATGCATCGCTCGACGAATGCACACTGGGGTCCTCTTAAGTGGTCCAACGCTTTTGAGCATGTGATTAAGGCCGGTTGCTCTTTGCAGGCGCTTCTTGAGTCGCGGGCTGTCCGTGAAGTACCTCACACCGGACAGCGTCATACAGTACGTGAAAGAGCACAAGCTCTACACGCCCTCTCATTCGAAACCAATGGACGAAAACGGTGCTGGCCTATCCTCCAGAACCAGCACGAAAGACAACGCGGTAGAGAGGAAGGCCGAAGCTGCGCTTATCTTGACCCCTTAATCGAAACACAGTTTTGTACTGCCATTCCGATCAATCCTTAGGCTTAGGCAAGATGCGCTGCCAAGTCTATCCATAACCCTGTGAGTAACAAGTGACTAAAATTAGCAAACAATCATAATTTTAAGATATCAGCATCTCGATCAGGACGTTTGCAATCTTTCTCCGAAGTCACACTAGGCTCAAATTGATGCTGGGCATTAGTTTGACGTAGGATCTTCGTCGTTGACGTGGGGTCCTGAAGCTTGTTGTAGTTACCGTTGCCCAACTATTTTGTCTTAGCAGTGTATTGAGCAAGAGGGAAGCTTTTCAGCGTTTCACATTTCAGCGCAGTGAAGGACCTGCATGAAGGACCCGTCTCAACTTCGTGACCCTCATGCAATATACTTGAAAGCTACGATTCCGATGATATGATTGAAAGCATGATCGAGGAAACGAATTCAAACGTGCATTCGACCGGCAATGGTGTTGCTCTACGTGCAACGACGTTGGAGCGGCAGCCACCGTCACGGTCTAAAGGAGCTAGAATGAATTATCGGGGTTCCCTAGCATCCGGACGATCAGGAATTTGGGCAAATCTGGTGATATAATCGTGTACCACGGTACGTAGAGCCGGGCCCTTGGTACCTCATAGAAAGGTCACTCTCTGTTTTAATTCGTCTTCGCCATCCCCGCATATCATGAATGTACATTCATATGATGGAGGACTTGCTGTTGCTGCACATGGTGCCCTGCCAATTTTTAGGGATAATCCTGACGATATCACTCAAAAGATATGCCACCCTCATCGAATTGTTTGGGAGAACTTAAGTTCGTATAACGCTCCTTGCTGCTAGCTTACTTTTATATATCATGTGCCACGTACTAGTACGTCCAACTTCAATGCTTCTGAGTGGTTGCTTGTATCATGCATATGCCGACACCATTGATATTCTGAACAATTGCCGATTGGAATGATTGCCATATTTCAGCACTCCAGCATGCAGGCGCAGCGCTTGATCTCTGCTCAAAATCAAGTTGCCTTTGCATGAAGCTTCAGTACGCTGGTAGAGTTGATATTATTTTCTCTTCTCCGGGTTGCGGGCTCCGAGATTGTACTTTGCTTCCTCACAAACAAAGTAGACAGAATACCATGTTAATGGTGCGGAACCCACTGATGCTAAAGTTTATGCAATGTAAGTCTGCATCGAGTCCCTTCCTGGCGTGGCTCAAATTCTAACAGAAAACTTCTACTATTGACTCGGTGCTTCGCTCCCAAGCTTTGCAGATGAGGGGCTAAAAGACAGGAGCACTTTTTCTGGTTGTCAATCACGAAATGCCTTTCTACACCTTTAGTTTGTTCAACAAGCATCTTTCGTCCCTGCCAGCTATACATGCAAAAATTCTGTTGTGCTGTACCATCCCACAGGACATGGCATAGACGGAAGTTGATGAGTACTCGATTAACTATCACTCATTCGATACTGGCATCCGGTGAGTGCTGACCAGCGCAGCAAACGTCAAAGTCACCGTCCCAGTCCATCAACATGGGAGTGCGGATGACCTGTACAAAAAGCAGGAGAAAGCGTGAATTCAGAAGAGTTGCATTTTGTTGTCCAACAGGAAGAGAACATAAGGGAAGGACTTGTTGAAAGAGGAAGACTCTAATAAGACCCGTGAATTCTTACTCAACACGTCGGCTTTTCTACTCTATTCACTCAAGTTCTTGTCTACATGTGAAACATAGATACTGTAGCCTACGTGGTAGGATGTGCCAAGTGCTTGTGCTTAGCAGTCACGATTACTAGGTTAGCAGCCCCTCCCAATTATAAACAAGAAGCACAGGATGGGCGGAGTGTACTCGCCCTGTACTCCTTAGGTGTGTCGAGATAGCTTTGTACGATTCCCGGGATTCTCCTTGCCCACATGCACATCCTTCTTTCAAACTCAGCCTTGTTCTGCAAGAACCACAGCGCTAAGGTGAGCGGGCTAGAGGAGCGCCTTGGCCGCAGCCAGTCAGTCCTTGGAGTATGCGGATGCGTTAAAAGGTCACTAAACCCTAGGAACATACCACTTCACCAAGTTAGGACGCGCTTCATGAACAGAGAGGCGGTGTCTGGCAATCGACTGTGTACTGAGGGTGAGGACTTGAGGACTTCTCTTCATCGGTCGAACAACACGGGTGATGGTCGACGATGGTCCTTTCTTGAGTAGTTCCCAGGGGTGCTTACCGTAACATCCCAGTTCTCTTTCATGTAATCAGGCCTATCCTCCAAGAACCGTTCGTAACCCTTCCTAAAGTCCTTCGTCTCGATGATGATTCTCAGATCCGGAGAAGCCCTCTTCACTTCCTTCTCAATGTGTGAGAGCGCCTCGAGCGCCTCCCTGATTGCGTCATCCAGAGTCATATCCCGCAACAGGTAGCCGAACTCGCGGTACGCCTCCTCTTCGTGACCTTCGTAGTACCATTCTGGAAGGACGACCTTGCGGTCCTCGAACATCTGCACGACACTGCTTCGTCAGGCTCACAGCCCAGAACCAGCGGCGTGCGACGGACGTGCTGTCAAAAGTTATACAGTCTGCCGTTATCGTCGTAAGAGCCATTACGGATTCCAAAGTTGAGACGTTTCAAGTAAGATGGTTGTATAGCAGCCTGGAGGATAGAATCTCGAGTACAGAAATTTACGATACAACGGCGTCTACTTCTCCTCTTCACCTTCTCACGAGCTTCTGCTTCAAAAAGCTATGGTTGAACCGAACCTGGTCTACGAAAGTGAAAGCGAGAAAGTGAGAAAGCGAGAAAGTGAAACTAGTGCACGAGGCGCCTAGATCTGACAGGCGTCTTGCAACAGCGACGTGCATGGAGGCCGTCCTGAAAGCAGAAGCAAGGGAGTCTTGCAAGACGCATGATATGGAGTTGGGACAGCAGAAGTCGGTTTCTCACCTTCCACAGATTGGGAGGAGCCTTTCTTTCGCGAATCCTCTGAAAGACAGACTCCGGTGGTAACATACTCGAGCAGCCGCCGCCTCCGTTGTCCGGGTGCTCCCCTGCCTGCCAAACGAAAGTGCCACAAACTTGAGTGTATCAAAGTCTTCAGCGTGAGAAGAATACAGTTAGTCTCGCTTACAGACTTTACGTCATTCAAAGTAGCCCCGTTGCTGACTCTCTTGTGAGGCGCCTCTTTCTAGATCTTGTGCTTAGAAAAGCGCTCCTGAGCATGGCTGTGTTCCTGATTGATGATCTCGCTTGTTGACTTAATTGACAGGAAAAGGAAAGAACTGCTTGAGCCCAACGTTTTGCGAACGGCTTCCAGTTTCCTACCGTTAGTGTCGCCACCCGTCACATCCAACGGCGTTTTAAAACTAAAAACCTCTCAAAACTCCACCGGGTTGGAAATCGAGATCATGATCCGAAGCATGCCAGTCACAACACTCGATAATCAAAGTCTATTGTTGGCCGCTTACAATGGAAAAGGTACATCTTCGACCAGGCTTTCCTGTCGTTCAGTTTTGCCAGCCGGCTGCGTTACTGAGCCTCTCACCTGCTCTGTCTTGAGTTGCTTTTCGGCCTCTGCCGGCCCGCGCAACTCCGCCCCTTCGGCGTGCACTGCCTCTGTATCGCCCCTTTTGATCTCCACAGCGCTGAGTCGGACCCTGCAGGCTCTGGCTTCCCGAACCCTTGCTGCAGCTCGGGCGCCTCCGCAGCTTTCCGCTCCCGGGCCGCTTCGCCCTGCGAGACGAAAGAGAAGACTTCTGACAGTACCAAGAGAACTGGAATATTGCGCAGACGCTAACAAAGTTGAGGTCAAAGAAACCATCCCCAATGGAGCTCCAAATGGGGATCAGAATAAGATAGATTCGACCCAGATTCGGCGTGAGTTTCCAAGAGGTGTACGTGTCCTCACCGACTCCATCAATAGCCGCAGCTCAGCTTTCGCCTCTTCCTCTGCGCGCGTGTTTTCCTCCACGAGCCACTGAGCCTCTTTCAGCCTCGAATCCAGGCCTGCGCGAGCGGCCTCTGCCGCTGCCAACCGCTCCTTGAGCTGCGCCTCCTTATGCGCAAAGCTCGCGTCCGCCTCCGCACGCCTGAAGGCAGACAAATGTGGACGCAATCAGATGTCCACATCTGACCGGAAGACATGTGAGAAACACTACTTCCAAGACTCACTTTTGGGCCTTTCCACGCACCTTTTTATTGGTTTGCCTGTAAGAGGGGCACAATCCTGCAGCCTCCTCACTTGAAAGTTAGATCTAGTCCAGAGCCTTAAAGAGTTGCTGCAGAACCGGGCCGATGCACTCCTCAATCGAAGCAAAACCTCCGCCGTACAGTCTGCAAAAGCAAAGCCCCCGAGAGTCCTTACTTGGCCGTTGCGGCTTCGAGTTGTGCCTCAACCACGTGGCGCTTCTCCATCTCCTCGGCCAGGGCCGTCTCAGCCAGCTCCGCCGCGCGCTGAGCCGCGCGCGCGCTTGCCTCCTCGTGGAGGCGCGCGAGTGACGCCGGGCTTTGCAAGCTCGACTCTGCCTGCGCGTCCTGGGCCGCCTCTGCTGGTCTTGTCTGCGCTTTGGGCTGGAGGGGACGGGCTTCGGGCTGCAAGGAATAGCCGTTGAGCTCCCAATAAGGAAGCTTTCTTACTTTCAGTTTATGTGGGAAAAGGCTCCAAAACAAACCATCTTGAGCTGAACAAAACGAGAAGGCCAAGGTTTTGGCTCAAGAAACGTGGTGGTGTTGGCTACCTCAACAAGGCAAGCGACAACCGTTGTAAAGGTTATCCAAAGGAATCCGTCTCTACTCAGAAGCAGCTGACGCAAAATTCTTTTCATAGAAAGATCGGAGGCTGCCCCCCCTTCCCCGGCCAAAAGCTATAGTCGAATGAATCGGAGTCAACCGCCACAGGCACAATGATCACCCTCCAGTTTCCTGCCAAATTGTGTTACTGTATATATCCCGTATATACCATCCATTCCAAAACCTCACCTTCATCTTTTGAATATCCATCTCCTGTTTGGCCCGCTTCGATCTTGGCTGATCATAGTCGTGCCCCTTTTTTGACAGGTCCTCCTGCAGAGTCTGACAAAGAGATTGTATCTTTTGATTGACAACAAGCAGCAGAACTACACGACCACAACCTAACCTGGTTGACTCTGCTAACTTGATCTTTAAACAATCATCGCTCCTTCTTGACGGAAAGGAAGGCACATGCCGGGATACCTCGACCGGCGATGTTGACAACAAATTGAGGAACCTCATTTGATTCTTTTACAGGTTTAAAAGAGCCAGAGTAAGAAATAGGACCACTATATACTGCATATGCCTGGTCGATAGATTCAAATGAGGGGTAACCTCTCATGCGTCTGAACACGGTGCAGCTGCTTCTAGTAGGGCTTGAGTAGTTTAGATCAGTCAGAGTTCTTTCCAGAATGCAAGTTATCCAACGTACCGGCGCTCAGAACTCTGTTAAAAGATATGACCTTAATGTGGAACCTTCACAGGAAAGTACTGCTGCCGACTGCTCAGCGGACAACTTGGGAAGCTAGACGAGGGTAAAGGTTTTTGTGAAACGTTCAACGAACAGGCGGCATATACACAGACTCACAAATCAATCTGACAAGCTTTCTTGGGTGACATACGGAAACCAGATGAACCTTACCTGACCCTCTGGAGGGTCATTCGTCTGAGGTATCGATGGAGTGTCCACCTGGAAGGAGCTTCCAGAATCGTTGACGTGGACTGCGTGGATGACCTCCTCTACGCATCTCGTCCTGTTGTGCCCCTTCTTTCCACAATTGCTGCATGTCACTCGTTTCTTCTTCGTCATGGCGGCCTTCTTCTCTTTTGTACCCTGGTTTCCTTCAATTTAAGATGGTCACCATTCCGCAACAAATCGGACTTTTCAGGGAGGTGTTCGAGTATGCACGTGCTCAAGATGCTCAAGATGCAAACTGAGAAACTGACCCAGGACCACGCCCCGACCAGGCCAGGGCTCTTCTTGAGAAGACTCAAGACCGCTCAGGACTGTTCAATTGCTTGCTGATACCGTATTGCCATTGCCATCGTACGTCACAAGTCAGCAATCAAGCAATACAAAGAAGACGAACTCAGTTAGTTTCGAGACGTCGATCACACATCGGCGGCGGCCCGCCACGGCCGCCGCACTGAGATGATGCGAGGACGCGGCCGCGTTTGTTGGTCGGGCACGTGCGGCGAGGTTTGGCGTTTGACAATGGTTGGTCGGAACGTGCATGGAAGATCGGGTTTTGATCCTCCCGAGTCCCAAGCTTTCGCCTCCGACCGGCCGTCATGGCTCAGTGGGGACCGGATCCACCCGGTTGAAAAAGTTATAGCCAGCCTTCAGGAAACCCGACACCCCGTCACTTTTCATGCAGACTTTGAACCAGGCAGCGGGCACATGTCACCGGGCTCTGATGTTGCGCCAGCTGCCCGGTTCCAAGGGCAGTAGAATTGGTAGGTACTAGTAACTACCGGTAGTACTACCTAGACTAGGCACCTAGCGTTGCATGAGGCTTGACTTTTGAATTTTGAGTCAAACCTGGAAACAACCAAGTACCCCCTATTTAATCCGACGGGCTCGCGCACATCTACAGACAAAGTGATTTGTTCACGGGGGCATCAAAGCTAGGGCATCCAATGCCCTGGAAGGCAGGATCCTGACGTGCAGAAAGAGGGTGAAGCGTCAACTTCTTTCGGGGGGTAAGCACCTGTAAGCACCTGAGGAATCTTGGGGGACCACCCTGGCAGCGATGTCAGCAAATGCTGCATCATGCTCATCTGTGCTGGAATCATGTGGAATGCCAATATTAATAACTAGGTATATAGCTGTGCAGGGCGCAAAGCCGCAGAACTTCTGACAGTGAAAGCCTCTGCTGTTTGAAGTGCTTGAGCGCCTGTTCCGTTATGTTCGCAGCTTGGTCTCCAGTGCATCCTTCTAACGAACCTCTCAACTAAAGGGCGCTGCTAAATGTTGAAGCTGTAGCACGCAATCTCGCATGCAGCAGGTCAACATCGCATTGCCATTCAGCCAGTGATTGCTGAGCCAGCTCAACGCCCCAAGAGGATAGTGGTGAATACTGCCCGAAAACCTTGCCGACGTGCACTTGAGCAATTGAGCTGCAGCATTTTGTCCACTGGTGCAAGGTGAGCTTCACTGCATGCTGTGTCCCTTCATGAGGATATCTAGTCACGGTGGCTGTTGTACATAATTCTGATGCATCCTACAGCTCTCTTGCTCGAAATGGCCATTGCTCAGGAGTCCAAAGCTTACAAATGAATCTGTGTTACACTTAAATTCTCATTGCTAGCCAGCGAGACATGATGCATTTGCAAGCTCTTTCAGCAGTGATAGAGAGTCTCCAAACAGTTGAATTTCTTCAGATACTGCTCCCAGAGCTCACTCGCTAGTTCATCACTGGTTCAGGCAACAAGGAGGTCAACTTGACAGACCGCTTCTGCTCTAGGCATTATGGCCGTTAGGATCTTCAACCATGACGCATCATTCACCCTAAAAATCCAAGAGTACACACTGAGACCGGTGCATTTGTGCACCATACTGTAACTTCCCTTGGATGCCGCTTTTAGTCTAACAATCTTTCTGGATGAGCTTTCTCTGGTAATGCTTTGCACATGCATTGTGCGTAAGTCCCCACCTGGCGATTGCTGAAGTCTGTCAAGCTATCCAACACCCTTAAGGCTTGCCCACAGAACCTGATTCTCCCTTGGATAGGTGAAATGCAGTCAGCAATGTTGAAGCAGTTGATAAGTGCCACGGGAATCCAGCAGCAATCAGTTTTTAATCTGCTGTATACCTTTGTTCTTGCTAAAACAATGCTTTGAAAGGACCTTGCAGGCAACCCACGAAATGTCACACAACAACCTCCTAGACTGTTCCCTTGTACAGCCCTATCTGCCCAATGAGAGCGCCGTTACGTTTAGACACATGATGATGAAACTCAATCATGCATTTGCTTGCATCTATTGCCACCCCATACAACTCTGGTTCTACTTGTGCAGGCAACTCTCCCAAAATGAGGGTCCTTTTTGTTCTGACGATCCTCATTGCATTTGCAAGTGCTTCTCAAGCAGGTAAGGTTCAGCAAAGGCTGCTCTCCTTGTACTCTGTGCTGATGACTTGATTGTTACCCTGCAATCCACATCATGCCATACTCAACTGGCAGAAACCGAGTGACTTCAATGAAGGAGACGATCATAGATACAGTCGTCTCAAACACTGAAGAGTCAGAAGCATCTGACTCCTCCTCTAAAAGTGACGCCTCAGGTCTAGAAAGTGCACATTCTAACAGAAAGTTTGAGGCTCTCCAGATGGTTTGTGCTCGATTTCTTGTCGCACGACCATCATGGAAAGCTCCGGTGTGTCCAACTTGAGTGCTGATTGTGTTGTCTTTCTTGTCTTTCTTTCTTGAGTAGCTGAATTCCTTTGAACCAGCGTCTGGAACATCCTTGAGTTACTAAGTCCTTAGAAGAAACCTCCTAGCCGTGCCTCAGCAGAAAAGACGTGAACGGAATCTGCGATTCTTGGTCATTGGGACTTTTCCAATCTGTAAACAAGCACAGAGGACAATGGCTGGAAAGACAGCAAGCCGCAACACTGGCACCTCACCCCCACCTCTTCTCTTGCCAGCTTGCCCCACCGGCCTCACCACGGCCAACGCGACCATCACGACAAATGACGTTATCCTGATCACGTCACCCCTCCAGAGCTACAACGACTCCCTGGCCGCCTGCGAGTGTTTTGGAGATGGCTGGAAGCTCGGCAACTCCACCGCCATCTTCGACCGCCACGCTTCGAGGTCCAACCAATCAGCGGCGGCAAACGCGGCCCTCAAAGCGCTTATGCTCACCAGTCTGAGCGCCCCGGTGAAGGCGTGGTTCGGTTACCAGTTTGTTGACTACAGCCTGAACACGTGTCCGTCGTTCGAGGTGGATCCGAGCTTTACGGCTACGGACCTATCTCCGTGCACGGATAAGTATGCGGCGGTCTGCGCCAGGAGCAAGCTGGGTGAGGCGCGTTTATTGACCACCTGCTTATATATGCTGGTGCCTGACTGGTGGAGCAAGGCTGTGCTGCTTCAATAGCGTCTTCAGTGGAGGAGTTGCCGTCCGTTTGGAGCGTTGCTTCTTCTGCAGAGGTTTGCAATGGATTGTGAAAAGCTGCCGCCAGCCTGACTCGATCCAGCAAAGCTTCGATACAAACCTGAATCAAATGCAGGTGCCAGCTTTTCAACTGTCGCAGTTCGACCTAATTGTTGGATGTCGTTCTTGCCCCTTTTTAATTAACAGTCTTCGCCACACTGCTCGTCTTCGTCTTTGAATGTTTTCCTGGTTATGCTGCATTTTTGCGATTCCGTTTCTGGTCTTCAATGGTTTTCCATTATCCAAAGCAAGTGTAAGGTCGGCTTGGCAATTGTCGACCCTAAAGTCGTTCCTGGACGTCTTCTGCCATACGCCTGTGCTTGCAATTTCCCCTCCTCTTTGTCCCTGTCAAGCTCGTTCCTTCCAAAGACAAGGTGGTTATAAAGCTGCCCAGAATTAGCATCACAGACGTATGCCAGACTCCTGCCTAACTTCGTCTGTTCATCTGTACAGTCTACAACCCTGTTGGGAGTGCCTGTGACAACAACCTCCAGTTGTGCGCTCCCGGAGGGTACTGCGACGCTACTGGAACATGCGCCGTCGGTGAGTTCATTGGCTCTCGGGGCAAACGTTTGGAACTCAGACTAAAACCGAGGGTCGTTGGATGCATTGTCGGAAGGACGTTGCACTTTAAGGAAGTCGCCGACAGCTGCCAAGGTTGGGTTAGGGTTTCTGACATGAAGCGGAGGCGAATGTTGAAGAGGAGACTGTCGGCCTTCCTTTGAGAAATCCGAAGTAGATCTGACGGGATGTAGGGATGGGTCATCTGAAGCTCACATAGATGGACACCCGAGATTGTCCATTGCGGTGCTGATCAATTTTAGAAAACATCGCTCCATCAATTCTTTCCTGAACAAGTAGTCTAGCATCGACAAGCTTTGTGTTTGAGTTCAGATTTCATCCCTCCCGCCCAAAAAGAGAAAACCCAAAAGTGGGCCACAACTACTCTCCTCTATCCAATGCAGACACGGTCTGCTACCCGACCAACCCCTGCATGGCGGGGCTCGCCACCGGCTACTCCAGCAACAAGCTGGACACAATCTGCACCGTCACCCCGGGCGCGCCCGGTGGTTACAAGTGTGAATGCGGCCAGATCCAAGCCGTGACAACCGGGCCCGGCCCCCAGACGTGCGTGGAATGCCCGTCGGCGAATCCGTGCGCGCTGATCAGATGCCCGGCAGGATCCGGCTGCGCGTACACCTGTGGCGACCCCCGGGGACTGCGCTGCGAGACCTCAGGTGAGGGTGACGTCACGCGCTTTAGTTCGTGCGTTGGATGGCGTCTCACTCCTCGCATCGTCCGTGAGAATGACGTCAGAGTTATCAGCCATTCGAATCGGGCAGATGTCACCCAAACATGGTTTTTTCTTTTCTTTTCGTGATTGCCTCTTGGCCTCATACTAGCGCTGACTTCATGTCACCGTGCGCTTTATTGTCAAAATATTCATCCGTGATCTACTCGGCGAAGGAACCCATCTCAAACCCTCACAGATCTCCCTTCTCGCGATCGGAATGCAGTGATTTGAGGACGTTGAAGATTGCTCCGATTCTAGGGAACAGCATGAAAAGACTCACGTGGGAACGGGAACTGAACATCGTCATGTTTGACGCATTACAGCTGGAGTCGTGGTTCCTAGTATCACCAGCGCCCCCACCACGCCAGCTCCCTCTACGGTCTCCACTAACACGAACGTCGCCGGCACGCCCGCACCTACCAGCGGCGGAAACGGTACGCACTTTCTCATTTCAACACTTCGCCCTCGTTCTCCTTTTTAATCTTTCCTTGCCGGCACCTTTTGATTGCGGGAGGAATGTGAGCGCTCCCGAGCATGTTGTCTCGGCCCCTCTCCAGTGATGCGTTTTAGGGTCAAACAAAACCATCTGCTTTGTTGGTTGAAGACCAGCTCGCTCAGGCGAGTGGCGGTGTATGTGTTGCTAGCTCCAATTGCTGTCAAGCTACTTTAGGGCTTTGACTCGGATTCTTTCCTCTTTCTCTTGACAAGCAAATCGTAGCTTTCAACGATGATGGAAAATGCAAAATTAGTCAGTCCTGGTCATGTCTCGATTGGCTTATTTGAAAGCAGGACCTCGTTATGTCCAAGGAAGCAAAAGTGCCTCGTCGTCTCCCGCAAAGTGCAGAACCAATGTTTTGCGGTGCGGCGGCCGACTTTCTCGTACGTCCCCGAACAGCCAGGATCAAATTTCGTTGGCGTTCGCTGAATGTTCTTTCTCCTGCAGCCTGCCAAGCCAACCCGTGCGGCGCCGGTGGCGTCTGTTCCCTTACGCCATCCGCCGGTTATTCCTACACGTGCGTCTGCTCCAACGGCTTCGTCTCCAACGGGGGCAAGTGCACCCCACGTAAGCATGCTGACGTCACCGTGTTGAACTCTGAATGAAATACTGGTGCATGGCAGATTTGCAGGCCAGGGCTTCGATTGTGTAACTTGTCAGGGTACATTTTAAGGATGGGTTTTGCGCGCTGCCCTAATTGTTGACGATAGTGCGGGTTCACAAAGCACAGACTGCGAAGGAGGATCGCTCGGGGAACCCCAAACTTGGCCTTCGTAAATTTGTTGCTTCTCTTGGGCTGCCTTTCGTGGACTCGACAGTAAGCTTCGTGAGGCGGCATGCTCGAGCTTCGCGACTGACTTTGCCTGTTTCGGATCGCCTCGTTTGCAAGTTCCACGGAAGCTCTTCCCCTGCGCAGAGCGTTCGTAGAATGCGTCGTCGGCACTTCATTGTCCAGCGAATAGAAACCTTTGAGATTTGAAAGCTGTCGCTTGTGAGAAGGTGGTCACAAAATCGTCGTGCCAATCTGGAAAACAAGGCACAGAATCGCACTCGCTAACTAAGCCACCGCACCACAAAAGTCCTTGATGACCCCAACATCAAGCGTCCGGGCCTGAATGCCGAAGCCACGTTTGAAGGCCGAGTCAGCGAGAACGCAGTCGCTGACGCTTTATCGCGGGCACTTTTGCAGGTCCGGTAGAACCGTATCAGAGCGGATTCTAGACAGGAGCCTGAGCGAGGATGCTGATTGATGACCCGCCGACCATTCGGCAGGTGCTAACAGTTCTGAGAACGATTAAGAAGGCACGCAATCTTATGCTAGTTTTGCTCGAATTCTTAATCGGCCCACAGTCGCACTTCGTCTGAATATCGAAGTGCGACTTTGGCCCCGTCGCACTTCGTAATTATTTCAATGTAGGTCGCAACGCAGTCCCTTTTCAGTCAGATTCTGTTAGCCGCTTCCTGTCTAAGTTATGTGAGTAGGTAGCGCTAGACGTCAATCGCCTCCCAACTAATCCTGAAACCTCCGAGTCTTCATCGTTTAATCGCTGAGGTTAATCTGAGTCAGAATCAGGCCCGCCTTTACTGCGTTAGGTGAGGTAGTAAATTTTGTTAGCAGCTGTCTTACCAAAATGATCTGATTGCCTTTATTGACTAAGTGTTTGTGCCAGAGTATTAATTATCCACTCTTGCAAGCTCTCCACTATAAACTTGCAGTGACAACCCGCACTCGACTTCAATGGCCATACGCGCGCACAGATGTCATTGATAACTTACGGCAACTGGCAGTGACGTTGTCTCTTCTCAATCCAATATGGCTGCATAGGTCGATGGACATAAACACTTTCGTGCACGCGTGCGCGTTTGGGAAAGCCGGGTGTTCATATCAAGCCTGCTGATCGTTCGATTTCGCATGCTAGTCCTCAATAGTGCAGCTCGGATGCCAGGCCACTGCTGGATCTCCGTTCCAGATTGTATGTTGATACATGAGCCCGCTGCGTTACGAAAGATGCACGTGATCCCCGGCCTTGAATTGATAAAGACTCATTGCACTACGAAGACGCACAGGCCATGGCTCCGCTTTTATATGCACTTATAATGCAGGCCAGAAAAGAATCCAAATTTGCTTGCTAGCTAATGCGGCAAACGTGCCAGGGTTGGTTCCCACGTCTCTCCATTCTCATTCGAGTTGCAGCATGTGTACATTCTCGCGTGCCAATCGGGCCCTAACTAGGATCGCAATTGGGCGAAAGATCTTAGCAGCTAATTCTCCTCTCAGATACTCAAGTGAAGACTTGTGTTGTGCGACTACGAAGCAAGCACGAGTATGGTGTTGCAGTTGAGATTTGCAAGAACAGAACGAATTACTTTGCTAAACCGTTCCCCTGCATGTCCCTCGAAAAATGCAAATAGGAGAAGATTGTTGCATCAGGATAGCCGCACATGATCTCGTTTCGAGGCTGCGCAGCGACAGCGCAATTGACAATAATCCAACGTTGTTCTTGGTTTCGACGAATGGCGACGGTACACATTCGCAGACGCCGGAGGCTTCCCTCAATTGAAGAGCCGCCCCCGATTCGTTTTGGGAGATCCCGAAAAGATGCAACGCCGCACGACAGATCAGCGGCGGTTTGTGGAACCTTACTTGCTCGCGTGCCCTGCCATGTTGTAAAATCCGCCAACATTCCAGAATTGCATTCCAAGCATCTTTCTCTAACACAGATAGAAAGAACGAAAGCTCTGGCATTGGACGACACACGATTTCTGAAGGTTCCAAAGAACGCCCCCAATACAAATGCTCAGCTCGACTCTTCGATTGTGAATCTACGACTGTCGTCTTACCAGACTCTTAGTCAAATGAAGCAGTGATTTGCTGCTATACTTTGATATGAAAGTGATTGAAGGCAATCAATAAAGAAAGCTTCAATAGAAGCTGAATCCTTGACAGTAAAGCTCTCCTCTCACGCTTACACAGGCGCGCTGGACGGTCCGATCCTTTCCCAGGATCTGGTAGCTCCACGGGTTACTCTCCTGATCTCACCATAAAGAACAGCGGGGGCGGCACCCATGGCCGCACGTACCTGGACTGCCACGTGGCGCAAGACCTTAGGCTGGGAAGAAGGTGGCGCAGGCAAGCGCGCGAGCATAGCGCGCGGCCTCTGGTGCTATTGCGCGCTGCTCTCTGCGGCTCTGCTCATGATCTATGCAGTGTGCCGAAGCACTAGAGAAGCGGGGCGGTGGGTCAGCTCTCGTTCCAGGCAGTTTACGGAGCATCCTTTCATCGCGTCCTCGGCTGATCGCGCTGATTTTCCGCGTTCCGCTGGAGATTTCACTGGACCGGAAACGTATGCTGGGGCGGCTCTAACCGGACACGCTGAAGCCGGCGGAACAAAGGAGCCGTTTAACCAAACGGAAGCGCTCCAAGGAACGGAAGAATGGTCCGGAAGGGAGCTCGACTGTAAAGATACTCCTTGTACCCTTCCTCTTCCTAAGCAAGATGGTGAGGGGGGAGATCTTATTGACGCGGGAAAGCAGAGTAAACGAGAGGAACAGCGGTTTGCGAAGTCTCCTTCAGCCATCGGAAAAACAGGAGGAGAGAAACGTAAGAGAAACGGTGCAGAGACTGGGGCGTCACAGGTGGGACACTCGTTGCCAGAGCTAAAGGGTTCAGCAGTAAAGATACAGCAAATCAACGGCTTAAAGACCCGGGATCCTAAAATGGCCCATTCTTTCGAGCATCGGAGTCAAAGTGTAAATTCAGAAGCAGGGGCACACGAGAACGACGATCAGGCAACCCGGTCTTCTCGACCGGGCACGTCTGCCGATGTTCCGTCGAAAACCGTAGGCACAAATGTAGAGTTGCACGAGAACGACGGCAGGAAGACCGGGGCTTCTCACCTGGGCCCGCCCAGGGTGGCCTTCATGTTCATCTCCAGAGGGGTTATTCCCACCGACCGGATCTGGGACCGGTTCTTCAGCGGCGCGGCGAGCGAGGACCTTTACTCTGTCTACATCCACTGGTGAGGAGACGTGTTTCACTTCTTTTCTTGGTCAAAGTCACACCGGAAGGATCTGGCTGCTAACCAGGCTGGTTAACCAGACTTGAGTCTGGTTCAATATCCAATGACCAGGCCATAGCCACGTTCGAAGTCTGAACATATAAGCAGCTTCTACCCAGCCCGTAACCGACCGCGATTAATCGTCAAAGAAATCAATTGTGAGTAGGCTCGTTTGTCTCAATTACCAAACGCTATGAGATCCAAATCTTCAAATGTGCGTTGAACATGCCTTACGTTCGTGCCTACCTAAGACCCCATGTTAGGCTCCTGGTCCTGTCCTTCAGCGCAAAATACGTCTCTACATTTACCGGTCAAATGTGTCTGTTTCTGATAGCACGGCATGGCAACTTCGAGAAGGGGGCAAACAGATCCACTATTTGTAGAGGTAAGAGTTTGCCGGTGGAACGGATGGAGTTCGATTTGCCTGGGGCTTTATTGTGGGTTCTGGTACAGGGCACGTCCGCATTAATGTATGCGTTTATTAAGCTTTCTAGCCTCTTTCAAAGTACAGCATGCAAAGACATACTCATGAGGTTGGAGTATCTCAATATAAGGTATCCAACGGGGAAGCTTTTCTCATTCACTAACGGAATTGAATTCGCGTTTCTAGATTTGCAGCCCTCAGGGGCTCTGATTGCAGAAGCGAGACTCATGACTTAACCAATCCAGGTCAAGTCTAATTAACCCGCATTTCTGATTTTGCAGCCATCAGGGGCCGGGCTTCAAATACAACGCGAGCACGACGGCCGCGCGCGCTTTCTACGCGCGCGCACTGCCTGACAGCGGCCCCGTGGAGCGCTTCCACATCTCGCTCCTTGATGCGTACAGAAAGCTGCTCAGAAGGCGAGTGGGATTTTGTGGGTTAAGGGCTCGGGGTTTGTCTAACCGTTCTGGCTTCAGCGGAGCTGGCGGCATGTAATTACGAAAGTCTTTGGATTTCTCGAAAGACGAAGAGATGTTCTTAGTCCGGAGGAGCTTGTCTTGTCTACAGAAAGCTGCATATCGGCACCCACCTCTTGTTCTACCACATTTCCGCCTAGGATTTGCACGGTACGAAGTGAGCCAGCCGAAAATTTCCTGCTTAAGCCTTAAGGTGTCAGACTCAGGTGATTCCCCCAGGACCCTTGACGACGGCAGCAACTTTTGGCTCGCGGCCGCGTTGCGCACTGAGGCGCGCGCGCGACACTGTCGTGCACACATTTGCCTTACCTTAGAGGACTTCGAGAGCCTACAAGATTAATGACAAACCCCTAGTTCTCTGATTCATTTTGGTAGCGCACTCCGCCAGTGGGTCGTACCGCCATCCAACTCGTGCATTCCGCTGCGCGGCTTTTGCTTTTATGAACGGAAATTCTAGAAGTCCCAGAGTCTCGACTCCATAAACCCCTAAAACCCTGTTTCGTGCAGCGCGCTCCACGACGCGGCCAACCAGTGGTTCGTGCTGCTGTCCGACTCGTGCGTTTCGCTGCGCAGCTTCGCCTACACGTACGATTACCTCCTCGCGGGTAAGTTGCAAACCAGCAAAACCTAGTATTACTTACAACCGTTCGATTACGTCCGATGGCACATCAATGACAGACGGGTCAGATTGCCTGACGGTTCATCTCCAGCTGCTACAAGGGACTCGATTCAAATAGACCAAAGGCGAGAGTTCGAAGGTTGGTTAATCGCGTAAAGAAGTCATTGCAAACCCATCTCCGCCATTTTGATGCTGTCAGCGCTCCACTGCATATTTTGCTCGAAGCGGCCAGTTAGGCTCAGTTTCGTGTTTCAGGAGTCGCTTGATTAAGCCTTTCGGTAGCTCAAGCGTGGCCGTTGTGGTTTGAATTTCTGCGCCGAGCACCAGAGACTGAACAGATCAGGCCGCTGGATCCGACGGAAATCACAAAAACGAGGGAAAAGGTTGGGCTTCATCCTTTTGCAGAGATAATAAGAGAACGCTTCACGCGTCGGTGCTCAATTGTTTCCCAGAAGCAGGCGCCGAGACTAGTCAACCTTGAAGCTGAAATTGCTTTGAGATAGTTAATACTTTCAGAACCTTCATCCAATCGTCTCGCTTTAGATCTGGGTGCCTAGCGTTAGCTTAGAAGCAGGAAAACTGCACCATTTGAATCCGAGGCGTTTGACTTACGTTACGAAACGATGAGACGCTGAAGCGCAGTAAAATTCAGATTTTGAATGGATGCCTTCGCCTTTGCAGGGAACAAGAGCTTCGTCGACGCACGGTGGACCAAAAATGAGTGGAACTGGAAGAAAGCCATGCTGCCGGACATTCCCCGGGCCGACTTCAAGACCGGTTCTCAGGTAGGTTTCTTCGCGAACACTGACCACTGGCCGGTCATGAGGAATTGGGATGTCGGCTTCATCAGTAAACGGAATCGGAAGGTCGACTTCTTTAGTGCCCGAAGCGAGCGAACTTCTGTAAACACGGGACTTCACGGACGGAGGGACCGCTGGGCTATATTACCTTAGACCGGAGAATGGTAAAGTCAACTCGAGCGCCCGGTTCAGATCAGCGAGAAAAGCTTCAAACGGTGCGGGTGCAGAGCAACGCCCGGTTGAAACGATCTGCGACTCAACCTCGGGGTTCATAGCTTGATAGGCTAGAGTCTTTTTACCTGCAGTGTTCTGCCTTGTTAGGGTCCCTTGGAACATTGACTCTTCGTTGCTGGGGGTTGGAACGCCTGTTGTATTGCCCGTTTGTTTGTATATATAACCTGACAGCTGCTTTTGCGAGTGAACCCTGAACCGGGAGCGACTTCTGCAGTGGTCGGCGGTGACGCGGCCGCACGCCGCGCTCCTTGCGCGCGAGCAGCGCTACTACGCGGCTTTCGCACGCGCGGGCCGGACCTCCCCCGACGAGCACTACCCGCCCACGGTCCTGCCCCTCCTGGACCCGCTCGGGTTTGATGACCGCACGCTGACCCATGTGGTGAGAATGCGCTCTCCTTTGATAAATGAGTTCGTGTGTTGCCGGCGGCATCTGTCCGGAACGAGGGTTTTGGAGGTCGCCCTATTCCTGCTCCGCACACTTGCTTGAATTTGATGGCCGGACGCTGAACCGCGTGGTGAGAATGCGCTCTCCTCTAGGAATTGTTCATGTCGATCACCTCGATCAAGTCTGCCGGGAACGAGCGTTTGCAAGGCCACCATCGAGTCTGCGTTTGGACGCCGCATGTGGACCCACGTTGTGAGAATACACTCTGCTACTCCAAAGTATTCCGGCCAGCTTTCGTTTATGCCGTCGCCGGTTTGTCCCGGGTCTGCCGAAGGTGAGCTTTGATCCTCCTCGGCGTGTGACCGCACACTGACTTATATATCCGGCGAATTATGCTGTTCCTGCTCCGTCTTTCTCAAGAAATGGGCCCTGGCTGGTCGCTTCCTGTGTCGGCGGTATCAGATTCTTCAGCTGCTCTTCATGCTTATCTCAACGCTGTTGTAACCAGCTCCCAGCTCTCCTCTCGTCCGAACTCGCGGGCACCTCCGAAGCGTGCCTCCAAATCACCGTTTTTGATGACGTGCTCTATTCCTTGCTGTTGCGGAGTACCTCATCCGTTTAGAACCCTACACTTTTCTGTCACTATCATCTCAATTTACAGAGCCCTAATGAGGCCTTCCAAAATCCACCTCTCCATTCGGCTCGACCTAACATGCTGAACGCTTAACTCAACCGATTATCCACTGATGACCGGGGTCCGTCTCGTGCAGGACTGGAGTGTCAAGCAGAAGGGCGGCAGCCCCAGATCTTATACACCCAACCAAATCAAGCGCGAGCTGCTCGCGCGCATCGCCTCCGCGGCCGGCTCGCCGCGCCCCATCTTTTTCCCGCGGAACCCGCCAGAGCCGTGCCTGGTGGGCGGCCGCGCCGCACCGTGCTACCTTTTCGCGCGAAAATTTCCAAAGGACACCGTAGAGAAACTCCTGGAACTGCTGCCGATTGAGGGTTTAGATTAATCATGATCGAACTTTACAGCGACTATCGAGCGATGCTGTGTCGTTGATGTGTCACCACGGTTGCCTATCTTTGCAGAAAGATCTGGAGGATTCCCAAAATACTAGATACTAACAGCGTGGAAGGTCTGAGATGATGCAATCAACATCATACTAAGGGTCGGGGGTTACAAAAGGGGAGGTTTGACGGCTTTGACGGTCGAAGCAGAACTTTCTGAATCTTCAAACTCTTTGCTAAATCAGTACCCAGTCCAGGCTTATGCAGCTAGCTGAAGCCGCCCGCGTCGGAAAGTGACTTTACATAACCCCGGCCGTCGAAACTCATTGCAATACGTAATAAGAGCTGCTGATCTACGCATACGATCTATCTTGCCAGCCACCGCCGTTGCCAAAAAGTCCTTGAAGATGATAGAGAAGCGCGGCGCTTCCAAGAATGAGCGGTGCTAAGAAAGCAATATGCTAAGAAAATAGCGCACAAACTGAGCCCCGCTCAGCGGGTGGTCGATCGCGGCCAATGCCACGGTGCTAGCACTTCACTATATGCCGTCGTTCGCATTTGTAAACCGTTTGGGGCACTGTAGCATAGTCACAGCAGCGTTTAATATGACCTGACTTGGTTGTCTCCATCCTGCTGAATTGGATGAAGCTTTCAAAGTACATCCAATTGTGACTCGGCATGCCTGAACGAAGTGATGTGAAGTTGTGACATGATGCTGAGCTATGAACAAGTTTTGGCGTCAGTGCCGCACTTCGTTCTGGCGAGCCTCGAAACATGAGACTGGTCCGCAAGTACTGCGCCCTTATCTTTGCCGTTGTAGCTTCTTGTTTTACTTCGCATACCCCTGCATTGTCTTATTGTACAGCATTGCTGAGTGGCCCTTGTACTCCAGCTGATTCAAGCGGCAATTTGTGGTATCCAAGCCAAAAACTCGAGCAACGCCGTAACTCCCAAATTCCATCCCGGTGTGCACGCCTTAAGCCCCTTACAACAAACCACGAAAGCATTACGTAAGCCTCACATAACTTTTCTTTGATTCGCCCATCTGGTCCTGGCCCCTTCTCAGAGCCACCTATTTTGACCTTACTCCGCACTAGTCGGGCACTCTTTCTCCCCAAGCTCTTCCCCCGTCCCGTTCTGAATAAGGATCCGGTACTTCTTAAGCGCGTTACACGCCTCCACTGTCTCCCGCACCTTGAGATCGTCCCCAATGTCAAACCGCAGGAAGCAGGGCTCCTCTAAAGGGTGCCCGGTTGACAGCCCGTTCCCCCGGAGATCGTACTGGGCAATCACCCGACCGGTCGTGGGGCTGGCAAAAAGGTCCAGATCATTCACGGTGAAATTGACGTACTGGGAGTAAACTCCGACCGCTCTTAGCACTGCGTCCGGACCCTGTAGGCATCAGAAAAAGGTCGAATTGGAAGTGTTGGATTTCCAAATTTCCAAATTACTACTGCCACGAGTCTCGCGGTTTGTGCATAGTATCTTCGTTTTTTTGTCGTTCGTTGCTTTCGAAGATACCTCGGTCCTGCACATTGCAAATCGCTTCTTTAGAACACTGGTTTGCGTTCTCGCATCCATACTGTTTTCCTTTACTAAAACACTTGATTGGAAGCCGTCTTCCCTTATGATCATACTCAAGCTAAGTGTTCTTGAATGGTATAACCTTTTGGACGTCTCTGTGAAGTCTGGAGGGGAATGGTTTAATGTCTCCAGAGCGATAACATTTACTGATGTGCAGGTTAGGAATTCATCAGCGCGGACAGTCACAGTAAAAATAAAGGCAGCCCCATATGATTTGTGCCCAGCTTTTTTGACGCGTCCTGTCCACGAATGTCAAGAAGCAAACGGGTCTTCACGTTTTCAGAGACGCAGTATATGTCGCACCTTTATAACGCCAATTTCATTACCAGCCGAATGGATTGCGGCTTGCATGCTGGCCGAAACATGTGCTCCTCAGTGCACGTGAATCGACGGGCGTCGAAACTAGTCTCAGTTTTATGCACACAAGTTATCTAGTTTGTTGTACGTGCACCTTTCTAAGAAGTCCGAGACCCCAAGCAGAGGGCGATCAGGAAGAATATTTGTCGAGCTTTGGCAGCCAACAGTGAAGATACAAACGTACCTCTGCAGGTATTTCAAACGTCGTTTCGGAGTTCGAACAGGGCTTGTACTCAGTGCGCGATCGAATCAGCCCTGGCGCCAGATTGGGCGCGCGCGTATCAAGAAAACTGATTATCATGCATGATCTGGCCAAATCGCATGGAAGAAAGTCAACTTGCGGCCGATGACCAACGGGCAATGGCAGTATCGTATTAAGCCACTCAAAAACCTGGCGGCATGTGCACAAGCCTCTGTGCAGACCAACATCAATTTGCATACATGTTTGTTGAAAGCTGACATTAATATGTCCTGCATACCTTTTGTACCTAAGTCTGCAAAACATACTATTTCTGCACGGAAGGGCCAGTCTTGCTCAATACTTGACTACGTCTTAGCTTCACTTCCACTTGCCCTTCCTTTGCGCATCTTACAGCCGGCGACACTGTAATAAACCGCACTAGCTAACGTCTTAGTAACTCACACGCTCAAGAATCCGTCTTCGCCACCTTTGCGGGCCGTTGCCCCTCGTCGTCATCATTGAACACGCGTTTCTGATTTGGCCCGGGCACGGCCCCCTCCCGGGCCTCGACTTCCTCCACTACCCCTCCCCCTCNCNCNCNCNCTC